GTTGATGTTGTCCTCAGAATCAAGAGTAGGGCAGACTGTGTGTGGTCTGCCTCTCATTGTGTCAGCCTCAGGTTGACTCCTCAGCTCTATCATGCCAGAACACAAGCCCACTACCTTACAGAGAAAGCCTGTCTGCAGCACCCACCACCCAATTTGCATGGTACACAGTGTGTGTCACCAGGAAGAGAAAGTCTCAATATTTCTTCCCTTCTCTACCTTCTATCAAACAGAGAGGTGACTGAAGCTTTGTTGGAAGTTGTCTGAGATGGAGATTTCCCAGGATGCCATGGTGTCAATCCAGAGCCCATGGTTGCTGACTGCTCCAGCATTGACCTCCAATCAGCACCTGAAGACAGGTAAGGAGGGCCTATTGCAAATCCCCATAGTTACTCATTGTTCTGACATAGTGACCTTTCCACTGGCTGGAAGAGCAGGTGGTTAGGTGTCCCAGATCAGAGTAGCATCCTGTAGTGTGTGGCCTCCCGACGGCCCCACACTAACCAGAGAGTGAGCCAATCCCGAAGGCTCCAGAGAGAGCAGCCCAACTGGGGACCGATGATGAGATCTGGTGGCATCTGAGTGTTTCTCCATGAGAGCCATGATAACAGATATCTGAGGTCAGGCGAAGAGAAATCTCCTCTGTGCAAAAGTTGGTGCTCTGCGAATTACTGAGGCCAGGGAAAGCAACCTGAACCAAACCAGGGAAGGCAACTAATGTCAGGTCCCCAGGGAAACATGGCTGACAACTAGACAAAGTGGGGCAAAGTGGGTGGGAATGACCCAAATTGCTCAGGGGTTAAAAACACAGTCCTCAATTTCAACAGGACATGGGGATGGGTAAACTTGGTATACTGACATGAAGCAGCCCAGCCATTTTTCCTTGAAAATGACATGAACTTAGGGTTCACCATGAAGAGAACAGACAGTGGATGCCTAGGTGATGCTCGGGTGATGAGTGATGGCCTACAGAGTGTTAAACTTGTCGCTCTATTCTCTGTTCAGTTCCTCTCAGAGATTGTGCTATCAGCATGGTGAAAACGAGAACACAACAGCTCCTTTGGATGCTATGAGAGCCCAGAGTGGAGTAGAATGAGAAGACCCCTACCTATCCCCCTAGTGGACCCCATTTGAGGTATGTGTCTTATTGTTAATGAGCTTTTAGATCAGAAGAGACCAGAAAGTATTTACATGGTCCTAGCTTGAAAGGGAACCTAGTAGGGATAAAACAGAGAAGAGCTGCCTATTTATGATCAGAGCATTGCCCAAAGGGTCCAGGAAGCACAGCCCTGCAGCAGCAGGTCAGGGAGACATCCACGACCAATGATGAGATCTGGTGGCATTTGAGTGATACTCGATGAATGCCTAGTATCCAGAAATCTGAGGTCATTCCCGATGAGTGCCAAGCTGTGGATGGAGGCCCATAGGCATATGTCCGTCCCTTGTGGACCTGTGTGATGGGCTGCACAGCTGGGTGATGATGTTGTCCTCAGAATCAAGAGCAGGGACGACTGTGTGTGGTCTGCCTCTCATTGTGTCAGCCTCAGGTTGACTCCTCAGCTATATCATGCCAGAACACAAGCCCACTACCTTACAAAGAAAGCCTGTCAGCAGCACCCCCCACCCAATTTGCATGGTACACAATGTGTGTCACCAGGAAGAGAAAGTCTCAATATTTCTTCCCTTCTCTACCTTCTATCAAACAGAGAGGTGACTGAAGCTTTGTTGGAAGTTTTCTGAGATGGAGATTTCCCAGGATGCCATGGTGTCAATCCAGAGCCCATGGTTGCTGACTGCTCCAGCATTGACCTCCAATCAGCACCTGAAGACAGGTAAGGAGGGCCTATTGCAAATCCCCATAGTTACTCATTGTTCTGACATAGTGACCTTTCCACTGGCTGGAAGAGCAGGTGGTGAGGTGTCCCAGATCAGAGTAGCATCCTGTAGTGTGAGGCCTCCCGACTGCCCCACACTAACCAGAGTGAGCCAATCCCGAAGGCTCCAGAAAGAGCAGCCCAACTGGGGACCGATGATGAGATCTGGTGGCATCTGAGTTTTTCTCCATGAGAGCCATGATAACAGATTTCTGAGGTCAGGCACAGAGAAATGTCCTCTGTGCAAAATTTGGTGCTCTTCGAATTACTGAGTCCAGGGAAAGAAACCAGGACCAAACCTGGGAAGCCAACTAATGTGAGGTCCCCAGGGAAACATGGCTGACAGCTAGGCAAAGTGGTGCAAAGTGGGTGGGAATGCCCCAAATTGCTGAGGGTATAAAACCACAGACCTGAATTTAATGGGACAATGGGATGGGTTCGAGAACATGTGATACTGACATGAAGCAGCCCATCCATTTTTCCTTGAAAATGACACGAACTTAGGGTTCCCCTTGAAGAGAACAGACAGTAGATGCCTAGGTGATGGTCGGGCGATGAGTCATGGCCTAAAGAGTGTTAAACTTGTCTCTCCATTCTCTGTTCAGTTCCTCTCAGAGATTGTGCTACCAGCATGGTGAAAACGAGAACACAACAGCTCCTTTGGATGCTATGAGAGCCCAGAGTGGGGTAGAATGAGACGACTCCTACCTAACCCCCTAGTGGTCCCCATTTGAGGTATGTGTCTTATTGTTAATGAGCTTTTAGATCAGTAGAGACCAGAAAGTATTTACTTGGTCCTAGCTTGAAAGGGAACCTAGTAGGGATAAAACAGAGAAGAGCTGCCTATTTATGATGAGAGCATTGCCCAAAGGGTCCAGGAAGCACAGCCGTCCAGCAGCAGGTCAGGGAGTGAGGGGGGCCCATCCACGACCAATGATGAGATCTGGTGGCATTTGAGTGATACTCGATGAATGCCTAGTATCCAGAAATCTGAGGTCATTCCCGATGAGTGCCAAGCTGTGGATGGAGGCCCATAGGCATATGTCCGTCCCTTGTGGACCTGTGTGATGGGCTGCACAGCTGGGTGATGATGTTGTCTTCAGAATCAAGAGTAGGGCAGACTGTGTGTGGTCTGCCTCTCATTGTGTCAGCCTCAGGTTGACTCCTCAGCTATATCATGCCAGAACACAAGCCCACTGCCTTACAGAGAAAGCCTGTCTGCAGCACCCCCCAGCCAATTTGCATGGTACACAATGTGTGTCACCAGGAAGAGAAAGTCTCAATATTTCTTCCCTTCTCCACCTTCTATCAAACAGAGAGGTGACTGAGGCTTTGTTGGAAGTTTTCTGAGATGGAGATTTCCCAGGATGCCATGGTGTCAATCCAGAGCCCATGGTTGCTGACTGCTCCATCATTGACCTCCAATCAGCACCTGAAGACAAGTAAGGAGGGTCTATTGCAAACCCCCATAGTTACTCATTGTGCAGACATAGTGAACTTTCCACTGGCTGGAAGAGCAGGTGGTGAGGTGTCCCAGATCAGAGTAACATCCTTTAGTGTGTGGCCTCCCGACGGCCCCACACTAAACAGAGAGTGAGCCAATCCCGAAGGCTCCAGAGAGAGCAGCCCAACTGGGGACCCATGATGAGATCTGGTGGCATCTGAGTGTTTCTCCATGAGAGCCATGATAACAGATATCTGAGGTCAGG